CTAGTAGCTTCTTGTTTCTACTAGCTTCTTGTTACTACTAGTAAGGCCCTTGCTCCTAGTAGCGATGCCCTTGTTACTAGTAGCAGTCCCTTGGACTCATCAGACTCATCAGACTTATGTGTTTTGCTCTGAAATGCTTGCAGCTCTGTGACGGATGGAGTCATGGTCTCCTACGGGAACGAGAACACGGGGTCAGTATCTCTGGTGCAACTCGGCTAGCAACAGGTGTAGAGCGAGTGCGAAGGGGGAGAATGCCGAGCTTACATTCAAATACAAAGGAAGAGCTTTTATAAAACACACGTCAGAAACGCCTTTGAAACGTACGCACGCGGCGATACTAGCTGTCCACGATATGCTCTGAGTTTTTACAAGAATGCTGGCCATGGCTTCGGTTTTGCATTGGATCGACGGTGTCATTCAAGTGGTGTTTTCTCCAATCATTTTGAGACATTCGGAGACGGTCTTTGAAGCTTTTGACTCATAGTTGCCAAATACAGACATATCATACATATATATAGACATATACACATACGTACTATAATTGTATTATGTATATTGCAAATGAATCAACGCATCATTTGGTGCTGAAGTCTGTGATCTATGGAGCGCTCGAGATCGTGCACCGTCACGCAATGGAGCCTGCCTTTAATCAAGTATTTAGCATTGCAAGTAGGTTGGAGGTCATCGCTACCAGGTTGGAGACCATCGCAAGTAGGTTGGAGGCCATTGCTATTAGATTCTTTTTCATTTTCATTAGTTTGTGTTCGCTCGGTTTTGAGTTCTTCAGGCACAAGAGCGGAGACTTGTGCTGGCCTCGATGTGCTGGGGATTCCTTCCGAACTGTGTTTGAAGAGGAGAGGTGCAATAAACTCTTGCCTCCGCCCTACATTTCCATCGATCTACCTCGAACTCTCTTAAAAGCAGGAAAGAAAGACAGGGATTGATGATGAAGAACAAAAGCAGGTCCAATGTCTAAAGGTCTAAAAGAGCGTTGTTTTGAAATTGTGTTCTTTAGTTTTCACCGTTTTTGGTCCTTTTAGGAGCAAGAACACTACTAGGGGCTCCTGGCCTTACTTTCTCTGAAACAACAAAGCCTTTCTTTTACGCCCGTTTAAGGTGGGCCATCGAGAACATCGATGTGAGGGGCCTGGAACTGCATCACCTAATAGCTTCTTGTTCCTAGTAGCTTCTTGTTACTGCTAGTAAGGCACTT